TTTTTCTTATCTTTCCTCCTTTCTTTCGTTCTTTGGTTGTTATTAACTCTGTATCTTCGTTCTCGCGATTATTATATGGTAATTAAAATGGAGTACGATGATGATAGCAATGCAACTGAATCCCAGTGATTAATGGCACGCTACTGAGTACTCCCATAAGAACTAATCCTTCCCACCCGAGAGTAAAGCAACGGGAGGAGGAATACTGCGCACTCCCGTGCAATTCCGTGTGTGCCAGAGCAGGACACAGCTGTTTACCCTCCCCACTAAATTAACCCATAAATTCCAACTTTTGCGAATAACCACGTTAACATGAGTGCCTTCCGCAGGAAGCCCGATCATGGGCCGGTCCCGCCGCTCAGGGCGGCAGCGGCAATTACGGCGCCTGGTCAGGGCACACCACCAGGCGCAGGTGTTTGACCCGCGGATTTTCGAGGTGTATCCCCGTGCCACCCCAGTACCCGAACCCCGGGAGAATCAACAACCGCCACCACCTCCTCAGTACCCTCAGCCTCCCCCTCAGAAGCTTCCTCCCCCGTACCCCCACCCCCCTCAGAAGCATCCACCCCCGCGCACCGGGAACCTCCACGTACCTCCTATCCGCCCACCCCCGCCTACCTCCGGCGAGCTCTACCCGCAGCGGGTGTGGAGGCCGCGGCCTCCTATTACCCCTCCGGCACGAGCACCTCTGGCCGCGATCTCCGGTCCAGCACCTTCCCTCGCTGCGAGAAAATCGCCGATGATCGCCCGGCCAGCCACTGCCCTCCCGCGAGTCGTCTCGGACGTCCCCCTCCTGAGGAGGGTTAAGATTGTCCGCCCTCACGTCGCCACCTCCAAACAGAGGCGAAATATGCCTCCGCTATAGGCTTATTACCCTTTTCTTTCTCTTTATATATATACATTCCTTGTACAGATACACTCAAATAAATAACCATACACACCACACTTACACTCAATTCATTCATACACATTTACACTCACACACTCTGATGCCAATTTCCTTCTTCCTTCTCTGCCTTTCCTCTTCTCGTCAGAGATTCTCTGACGTCCCCGCGCAAAAATAAAAACGCGGGACGTAACATATTTAAAAATATATTTTTTATCATTATTTATTTCTTCATTAAATAATTCAATAGCCGGAAAATTACATGTAGGGATAATAAATAGCTATGGCTATAGCTATAGTTTTACTAGATATGAAATAATGACATTTTTTTTATAATGGAATGGATTGGACACCCACAATTCCCTAATAGAAAAACACTATAGTAACAGCAGTATTTTTGTGCATATCTACCTGCATTCGATAAACATACGTGGAATGTATAAGAGGTACATTCTATGTATATTCTCAACATCATCTCGAATGAATATACATACCCAGGGATTGAAATCGATAATTATTTTTTTGGAGAAAAACCATGTCATGACTTTGACTTTTATTTTTCATTTTTTAAAATTATTTCTTGATTTTCATCAAACTGCAACTTTTATTTCCTAGTCAATCGCTCAAAAATCACACCGCGAGAGTTACTTTTGAGAGAAAATAAATCACTCATAAGTAAATGTTATTCCTTAAGTAAAAAATTTCCCTCAAAAATAAAACTCAACCTGATTTATTGACTACAATACAACAATTAGTCACTGTTAGGGTGGTACATTTTACAGGATTTTTGCACGCTTAATCGAATGAGACCATAAATAAATCAAAAGGAATAATCGTTTAAGAGATATATCTAATTTTTCATGGAAAATGATATCTAATTTCATAGAACATAATGAATATGAAATAATACATAGATTACATCATAAGTATCAAAACTTTATTACTTAAATAAAAATATAAGTTTATAACGAAAAAAACCTTGTGTTCTCTGTAATTGACATAGGTAAGTAAATAAGTAAATAAGCTTAGGAAGAATTTAATTTCAAAATAGTAATCTGCTCTAAATGAGTAGGAGATAGTCTGTACCGAAGATCATTCAGTATGAACTTGATAGCAGAAAAGGCTCTTTCGACCGTTACCTGGGTTGCAGGTACGGCGTGTATAATTAATGCTATTTCAGAAAGATACGGCCATTTGTATTTCAAATTTGACCAATGAAGAAATATATCTGCCGTCAAATCGATTCGCTTATTTTCGTATTGTTCGATTTCTTTGATCGCCGCTCCAAGAGCAGTTCCTAGATTGTGGTTTTCGTCCGAATCGTCCGATTCTGAAGGCCCGATGCGATCCAGGAACCTGTTCAGCAAGGAGTCGTTCGATTCTTCATCTACCCTTACTACAGGTGACGAATCTCCTGGCTGTGAAGATGTCGGAAGACGTTCTTCTATTCTTGTCGCAACAGAGCCATCTGCAGGGCTCCTGACACTTATTATTTGAGAGGCTAACGTTTTAAAAAATTTTTTTGTTTCCACCAACTTTTCCTTTGGGAACAGCCTCCTAATTCTCGGATCTAAATATATCGCCGCCAGAACAACGGGGTTATCCAGAAGAGATTTTTCCCTCTCATTTATAAAAGTCAGAAGTCGTTTTGCAAGTTTACTTTTTTTCTCTTCAACTGTCAACCGAAGCTCCCACCATATTTTAACAAAATCTCCGAGAGGCATTTGCTGTAATTGCAACGTGGCCGTTTTTAATGGTTCCAAGATCTCTACAATGAGAGCTACCTGTGTTACAAATCTTTCGTCGATCTCGAAATGTTCAGCCCAATATGGGCGTAACGCTAAGAATAAAGCTAGCATATCGCTAGTGGTGTTCCAGCAAGTTGGAACGTCTATGACAGGCCTCTTCAAATTTAATGTTGCGATGCCCAAGCGATGGGTAGGAGTCCTCAGATTTTTTATGTAGTCTCGTACTTTCCTCACTATA